ATGACATTATTCGTCCAAAGATTTTAAATGGCAGTCTGCCTCACATTCGACTGAGGAAATTTGAATAAGGAAATGAAAATCCCAGCGCAGTAAAATATAAAAGGCTCCGATAATTCCAGAGAAGGTAAAAATTTGCCGAAATTCCGGTGATACATTTTTTTGAATGAAAATTCTCTTGCGGAACAGTAATCGACGAAAGCGATTATCCTAGCGTCTTTTAATGTTCATGGTGTAGACATCGCATGTTTCGAAACAGCTGCATAACTGCATTTCGCATGTCTTGTATTCTCCAGAAGTAGATGATGGGGTTCAAAGAACTGTTAATAAACATTAAAGTGTTGGTTAAATACATTGCAATAGGTAATGACCCACGACGATGAATCGATAGTGCTTTGGAATCTAATAAACTTTGTGCAATGTTCACAATAGCAACGGGAATGTAACAAACTGCAAATGTCCCCATGATAAAGTGCATTGTATTCACAGTTTTCTTGTACCGTGGAAGGTTCAAGCTGTTCTGTATTGATTGCTCTTGTGCATGGATGCTTGCCGAATGTTTTCTTACGGCTCGAGAAATTTTCACCATCAGGGTTATGTTAAGCCATAAGAGAACCAGTAAAGCGAAAATATAGATTATTCTGGCTACAAAATACTGTGCAGAGAAAACTCCAAACGGACTTGTAATGAAAATAAYGAAAACAACTAAACACGACTGCTTGGTTGTAACAAGTTCTTGATATCTCAGATGCAAGTGAATAGCAAGGAACCGGTCGATGGTGATGGCAGTAATCGTCAGGAAAGATGAGCTCGCTAAAATCCATACACTTCCCCTTTGTATTCTATTCAAAGTTTTATAATAAAGTGATCCATTGTCTGTGGTTTGGGTCAACAATAATGCAACGCAATTAACCGGCTGCACCACAGCACCAACACCAAAGTCAGCGATGGCTAAACAAAGAATAAGAATATACGAAGGCGTTCGCATAACAGGTGTCTTGATAAAAACCAAAATGATTAAAAAGTTCAAGACGCAAGCCACAAGGSAGCTRCAAGCGTTGATARCAAYCAATGATATGGAAAACATGGTTCCAAGTCTTTCAAAGCTTTTATGTGTTGSTACCGTAGAATTGTTCATTTTGCAAATGTTTCAACTAAAACTTCAAAGATAAYGTTTGGAGCATAAAAGATTTGAAGYTCGCTTAATATAGTTGTTGACCTTCCAATCGACGAAGAGACAGTTCTAAAGTGGATAAACTAGTGACAAGGTATGCTCGTGATTCATTGTCCTACCTCCCTAGTTACTGTTGCTACGTCGAAAAAGCGAAAATACTCCTTTGACATAGAGCATGGAAAAGATACCGATTGCTTCGATATGTAAGAACTTGCCTTGTGTTGTATATTTTTTACATCCTTATCAGGAAAAGCCAATGAATTGTAGTAAAAATGTTCGATTTTGTGTTTGTTGCTGGGACAGTTTCAATTCCACTAGGAAAACTGCTCATTGTTTGCCAATTAATCTATGTGAAGAATGGATCTGTTAATTATTAACTTGTCGCCAGAAAGGCTGATATCCAATAWAAATGATCTAGTTACTGATCAGCAAATCATCTACAGGCAAAAAAGTAATTATGCCTCAAATCTTTCCTACAACGTTCTTGAAAAGGAAAACAGTGCCTTATCATGCATAACGTTGTTGTTGATTGTTGCTGAGAAATCCTGACATGCAACCAAAAACTATCGGTCTTTAAAAGAATAATTATCATAACATAAAATATTAAGATGTAAAAAATGAAGTGAAGAAATCAGCCTCAAAATCTGAGAAAATATATGAAGTGTGTCCGCATCGGTGTTTTTTTTTTTTTTGGTGTTTTTTTTTTGTAAATTGTGAAGGTTGAGTGATCTCGTCTCCCACTGCCTTGAGTTATAATTACATAGCACTTTAGCATTAAAACCAAATCATTATTTTTCTTTCAGAAACAAATTGCGTTCAAAGCGTAGATATTTTACTAAAAAGTTATGTTACGGTTAAAATACTTGCGCCGAAAGCACAGGAAAATATATACTTTGACTTGCTGCGCCTAGAAGTTCTAGACTACTAATATTTTATCAGTTACTGTATCTAATATGACATAAAACTAGAGAATGCTTTTAAGCATTAAAAAGCATGAAAAAATATAAAAAAAGAATCCAGGCTGTTGATCATGTGGCGTAAAGAATTTTACAAGACTCTCCCGTCTCTCACTGCCGACTTCGGCGCATCTTCGGAATAACGTTCGGCGCGTTTGTGGATTTTTGTGACACTCAAGACTGACGAKTATAAAGAAGAGAAAGGATTGACGCCCAAAATATATGCGCAAAATTGCTTGTTAAATCCATCTTGATAATAATGTTTATTGCTCTTTTGTTTAATTTTTTTCGTAGTTGTCCTTTTTATCGACCTTTAGCTTGCATTGGAAAGGCCCGCGCACATCCCCCATGGTCACTGGCCTGGCCTACTAAGAAGATGAGAATAGAAGCTTACAGAACAGTTTTCAAAAGATGATTTTCACATAWAATGATCATATTTAAGCAAGGTGTTCTTTCTATCTGAAACAATTATGAAAATATTGTCTCAATAAATACAATGTCTCAGAATTGTCAAACTTACAGTTAAATTCTTTCAAAAGCAACAGCAGCTGCAAGTCTTCCATTAATGAAAATTGATGTTTTACTCGAGTTTTGAATATTTATTATAAGTAATAGATAMGTTTTTCCATGTTTGCATAGCATGTAAACATGAGGGAAGGTTTAGAGATTCACGAAGCGGTATATATTGTAACAATTTTTTATAAAATAACTTTTCCTCGAAAATACTTTAAAAACTTGCAGAATTCGAATATAATTTTTTATATGATCGAAATACAGTTTCTCATTACTTCAAACATTACAATGGATCAGTTTTTTCAAGCAGACAATCAATATTTCCTAATTGTTTCTGAGTTTTTGTTTAAATAGCGCATTTCTTTTGTCAATTCTAGTTTTTTAACTTTGCAAARGTGATAACGTCAAACCCATGTTAATTTTGCTATCTAGCTTCAATATCGCTGTTAGTTCGAATTCCTGTTAGCTCAGGCGGCTATAAGTTTATATCTATTTCTGAATCAGAGCCGTGAAACATTGGGAAAAGGAAAATCGGCCAAAATTATCGAATTGTATGACCACATCGCACTCGAAACAGAACACTTCCATTGAAGCTGTATAATACCATGATCACCTCGGATTTTTTTGTCTTCCGAGGGATGTTTACAAGCGAACATCCCTCCCTCATGAATGGCATGAGGGACGATTACTAGTAATCGTCCCTCATGCATAATAACATGAGGGACGATTAGACTGCGGCCGTCGGGACTTCAACTTATCTGCCCTCGGCTTCGGGGACATTTAATCCCTAATCTCCCTCAGAGCCATGCTATTACTTATAATAATCACATGTAGCTAGAAAAAACTCTCTCAGTGTTTCGATTTATGCTGTTTGGTTTGCATGAATTTCTGTGAAGAAATCATGCAGGGTTATTTTATTTTATTAGCTTTAGCTTTAATTTTGTGTGYTATAAAAACGGTTGAAATATTTGGTCACAATTTTCCCAACGACACACGATTTATAATATTCATAAATTTACAAGCAAATTACAGATTGCACTTTTCCTCGATTGAACTAAAACAATGTTATCTGGAGGTGAATGTGAAAAAGAAGAGATCTCTTTTTGATTGACATTTTTTTTATGATTAAGACCCTGTTTTTATAAAGATAGATAATTTAGACGTGTTTGCTTTTTTCTTGCATTAAAACCATTTCTAAAGATGAGAGTTAAAGTGACGCGCTCGAGTCGTTTTAAGGCCTGCCTTATGGCGTGAAATTTAATCCATTTCAAAAGTGCAATAAAACAGTTTTTTACTTTTACAATAGCAAAATAGTAACATATACAGTAATGAATATGTTTAATTTGAACTTTAATTAAAATGGCGGCTCRATATTGTAATTCCCATACAACACGGCCGCTCATACTTAAACCGGACGGTTAACATGACATGCATATACTGGAAACCAATTAAGCATTGTTCAATCATGTGATTCTTTTGTCCAACTGTGCCAAAAATCACCGACAAGTTGAATATTTATACTCAAAAGCACACTGAATGATGTTTACACTTTACGTACGTACCATGGATCCTAACATTTTTTGGAAAAAATGCTATAAAAATAATGAATATTTTACAGGATGGACTAACAGAAAAGGTATTTATTACGACTACTGTAATTTGAAATTTTCGGATGACAGTTTTGAGGTATCATCACTCAATCGATTGGATCATGTGCTAAAAAAATTCATGGAGATCTTCACTACACCTGTGTTCACTCGCTTACTTCCCAACCCCAACAAGACTTGAAGCGGGTTTTGCTATTTCACTGATTATTATCAACGCTTGCAGCTCCCTTGTGGCTTGCGTCTTGAACTTCTTGATCATTTTGACTTTTGTCAAGACGCCATCAATGCGGACACCTTCGTATATTCTTATTCTTTGCTTAGCCATCGCGGACTTTGGTGTTGGTGCTTTGGTGCAGCGTAGTTTTTGTGTCGATTTGTATACCAGAATGAAGGCATATAAATTGCTCTTTTTTGCAGCATTGACTATACGAGAAGGAAGTACATGGATGTTAGGAGCTTCATCTTTGTTGACGATCACTGCCATCACCATCGACCGCTTCCTTGTTCTTCGCTTGCATCTAAGATATCAAGAGCTTGTTACTACAAAGCGGATGTGTTTAGCAGTTGTCGTTATTATCATTATCAGTTATCTTGGTGTTTTTGCAACGTRCTTTCAGTGTTTCCCGAAAAAAATATCGTCGCAGCTTATTTGGCGCTTCAGCAAGTATTCATRCACAAGAGCAAKCAGTACGAGAAAGCTTGAACCTTCCACTATTCAAGAAGACTGTTAGCACAATGCACTATATCATGAGAGCGTTTGCCCAGTGTGTTTCTTTCCAAGTGTTATCGCGAACATTGTGCAAAGTACCGTAGCATTCAAAGATATATGGACTAATAACATAATGGTTATTACAGTGTATATAACTGATACAATAATCTACATGAAAAGTGCTTTGAATCCAGTCATCTACTGCTGGAGAATACAAGGCATGTGAAATGCCGTCATGCAGCTGTTTCGGAACATTGGATGTCTGAGCAACGAACCTCAATCATAAAMAAAGACGCTCTTTGATTTATAGATTGCTATTAACTGTCTAAATGTTTCTAAACTATACAAAACAGTTCTTTGAATCCTTTGATGTACTGCTGGAGAATACAAGGCATGCGATCGCGAAATGTGGTCACTCAGCAGCTGTTTCGGAACATTAGATGTTTGCACAACGATATTTCTCAATTACAAACAAACACGCTCTGAGAATGATTTATAGATTGTGATTTGCTGTCCAAATGTTTCTAAAGCGCTCATCTATCAGGATATTTCCCTAAAGATATTATATGCTTGCATCTAGACGAGAGGAGTAATATATTTTGTGGCAGGTTATTGTACACTAAAAAAGGACTGCTTCCGTTAATTGAACCCTTCTCTCTTGGATTAGAGTGCAACTTTAGGAGTCAACTTTATATATTTTGGTTGAATAACTATGTACAAAAGCTAAWTACTTCATTTTAATTCGAATTCTCTATTGTGCAAACGTCAGACCTCAAACTGTAAGCAACTGTTTGTGATCTTAGACAGATGACCAGTATTTAGTTTTGCAGTTAAACATAGTTTTCTATTTAGAAAAACAGTTAGCAAGTCATAGGAAACATTAAGCTGTTTGTGCTGTTGTTACATTTTTTTCTTTTTTTCATATAGAAAAAGTATAAAAGTGTACCTTAAATTGAATTTATTTTAAGGATGTCATAATTACATTGTTTCAATAATATTTTCTGAGTAGTATCTCCCCCACAATGGTGTACTTGTCGTGAATTTTTTTCCGTCTTGTTATCACCTTTTTATGCCAAAACAAATCTATAACTTTTCTAATTCTAGAATATTTCAATTTGCACAGCGGAATCTCACAAAAACATTTAAAGAAAAGAAATTGATAATCAGCTTTTGCTCATAACTGCCGGTTCTGAATTTTTCTCCGTCGCGCTTCCTAACTTTCTTGTCGAAGCATAAAGTCGCTTCTTCGTGAGCGATTTTTCGCTTGCGCAGGTAACGCGATTTTCTCAAAATCACCAGCGCACGTTGGGGCTACACGAGCGACAATGCTCAATCGATAAAAAATGCTCACAAATACTTATTTGAATCCCCATAATGAGGTATATGTAAAAAAAACAGCTGAAATTTGATGTTCACTTTTCACCGTACCCGAAAATCGCGTCGCCTGCGCAAGCGAAAAATCATTCGTGTACCCGCGGCTTAACACAACTAAAATTGACATGCTCATTATCTTTGACTTTAATTCAATGCCAACCTTTGTTTAGTTTCTATTTCGTGCTTGCTATATATATATTAAATGTGGGTTTGATCAGTATGGAACGAAGGACATAGGGACATTAGATGGATTACAAATTACCGCTATAGTACGAACGATTCGGATAAAGAATATTYTGTTTGGTAAGCTAAATCTTGTCGATAGAAGCGTCGTTAGAGTTTTCAAGAAACTGTTCGCATGTTATTTTCGACTGTCTGAACGGTATGCAAAACTCTTCTTAAAGCCAATTCTCCAGTCAGTCTAAGCGCCAACTGATTAATAATTAATGTAAAAATGAAGCCTGTTTGAATAACGGTTTGAGAATGGAAGTTCAAAGCATCAACATCCCAGCATTTTGACGTTTTTTAATCCGTCTTTCATGCATTCACTGAATGAAGATTGCTCGTGGGATAGGAAAGTGCGTGTTCTCCAATCCACTTAGTAACACAAAAAGGTTTTTAAAATTAAGTAGTCAGACTCAAAGTCAGAAATCAGAGGCAAAAAGAAATGAAAAATTGTATCAAAGATAAAAATRAATTTTCCCCACATTGCATGCAAATGGTCAATAATTTAAAAGAGATTCTATAGAACACACACCAATCAAAAAAATTATAGAACATTTTGAATCGGAAATGGAAAGTATTATTACAAAAAGCTAGCCAATGATTGGATTATTATATAATCGAATAACATAATGGGCCATTAATGAAAGATCAGATGTTTCAATACTTAAATCAGTATTATAATGAGCTAAAATCAACTTTTAATTTAAAGTTATCTTTCAAGATTGTGTTGGAATCATTCGTCAATATGAACAATTCTACACAATATTGCTTTGAAAGTCTTGGGTCAACCTTTGCTATCTCATTGATTATTATCAACGCTTGCAGCTCCCTTGTGGCTTGCGTCTTGAACTTCTTGATCATTTTGACTTTTGTCAAGACGCCATCAATGCGGAGACCTTCGTATATTCTTATTCTTTGTTTAGCCATCGCTGACTTTGGTGTTGGTGTTATGGTGCAACCGGTTTATTGCGTTGAACTGTTTGCCAAAATGAGAGCATATGAATCAATTTTTTATGCGACCTCAGCTTTTCGAGAAGGCAGTTCATGGGTAATAGGAGCTWCGTCTTTCCTGACRATTACYGCCATCACCATCGACCGGTTTCTTGCTATTCACTTGCATCTGAGATATCAAGAACTTGTTACAACCAAGCGATCGTKTATAGTTGTAATCRCTATTTATGTCATTAGTCCGTTTGGGGTTTTTGCAATGTGCGTTCAGTGCGTTGCTGAAAAAATTATTGTTGGAGTTTTGGTGTGTCTGGTGGCGTTGAACATAGTAATAATGGTGAAGATTTCTCGAGCTGTAAGTAAGCATTCTGCAAACATTAACGCGCAAAAGCAATCAGTACGCGAAAGTTTGAACCTTCCACGTTACAAGAAAACAGTCAACACAATGCACTATATCATGGGTACGTTTGCAATTTGCTTTATTCCAGTTGCTATTTCGAATATAACTCAAAGTGCTGTGGGATATGAAGAACTATCGATTTACCATCGAACCGCAATGCATATAACTAACACTATATGGTTGTTAAACAGTGCTTTGAATCCAGTCATCTACTGCTGGAGAATRCAAGACATGCGAAATGCTGTCGTGAAGGTGGTTCGAAATATTCGATGTCTGCATCATGAACAATAATAACAGAAACAAAATACCCACTGTGAATGATTTATAGAAATTAAAATTACATTCAAAGTTGTTCATTTGCCTACATTCGTTTTTTCATATAATAACATTATTTTAAATTGAAAGAACAGTAATGGGACAAGCTGTCTGCACTCACTATAGCATAGAAATATAAAGTACCGTTTAATAAAATTCAAAGCAAGAAGTCTTACTTGCAAAAAAATTGAGTATAGTTCAASTAAAAAGGTCTGCAATGCATTTTATAGTTTCGTTTTGATTTTTCGTATTAGTGAGCATTTCTCAAGTATTATCAAAACAAGTATGATTTACAGTGGTCAATTCAAAATGAGTAGTGATTCAATTCAGTAATACCCATTTTTCCTCTTTACTGAAGAAACACAAGCCTTGTCATATATCTCTTGATCATTGTCTTGATGTTAAATAGCAGCTGTTGATCACAAAAGGTTGGAGTTTTCTTTTACCATGTTGCCTCCCTATTGCTTGGGGATCATACTCACGCATACATTCAGTTTTTTCCATAGCATTTTTTCAATTTTTATCTACGCATATCTACATAATATAACTTTAACAAATATCTAACTTTAGTTATGAATGCATTTACAATCTCTTGGAAAACAAGAAAGCATCTAAAAAGAGCTGTTGCCTAAACAGTTTACGTTGAATATTTTATCTCTGTCAAGAGTCTTTTGTGTGCTTCAATTAATAAGTCCCTTGATGGTGAGAACAAAAAAAGCCATGACGACAGTGTATGAATTTAAAATTGACGCTTCAGTGTGAATGATTCTTTATTGTAAATGGTCAGTCTGAGGGKTTTTTTTTCTAATACGAGTTAAAACAGCTTTCGAAAAAAAAGAAAGAAAAGAAAGAAAGGAAGAAACAAAACACATGGATTTTTTTATCGGAACCCTAATATGCTTCCAAAGCAGGAGAGCTGTTTAATTATTTCTTTTAGTATGGAAAATCAGATGCATTATTGGTAATGCTGTATCATCACTAGCTTTACTTCACCTATGTTTTACGACTTTTACCTTCACAATTCTACAGAGCTTCAAACAAGAAAATCCTCTTCCAGCGATATAAATACRATATAAATTGATAGACAAAGTTTCTTCTTGTTCTAATTCGAAATCTTTGCCCACACAAGACTGTCTAAAGCTAGAAAGGTCATATCAAACTTAATGCCATACATCCGTTCGGGTCGTGACATTTGCTTAGATTTCATTAGTTTAGATCTTTTGATCTTTTTGATTTGAAAAAGGCACAAATACAGCATTTTTTAAAGAATATATATAGGTTTATCGGTCATTAAGAACGCAAAAAGCTTTAAATTTTGCTCTCCGAAACCCTGGGACTCTCAACAATAGCTTTTACAGTTTTGTGAAGGAGCCAGGAGCCGTGTTACCAGGTGTTACGCTGGAGAACAACAGGCATGAATCTCTCAAAATTGAAGGCAATGGCCTGAAACTTCACAGAAATGTAAAGAAAAACACAATACACAGGTAGAGATGTTTATTTTTGTTATATTTTAAATATTACTAAAAAGTACACAAACGCCTAGCTTGGGCTACCTGTGATCGCTGTCTATTTTGATGCTCAACTCAAACTCTTCAAAGGCGAAAATACATACTTGGATTTTCAGATTTTCTCACGAAGGATACTCAGAAAGGTCACATATATATTTCATTTCTTAATCCCAAAAATGAGGGTCACGTGACCTGTGATTTTTCGCAATATTTGTTAAAATTGCGGTTAGGGCTAACACATACTTAGGGTTAGGACTGTTTTCTTAGGCTTAGGGTTAAGATTTGGCTTAGGATTAGACTTGTGCTAGGTCTACATGGGGGCTTTGGGATAGGGTTTTGACCTAGTGCTAGTCACGTGACCGGCCTTCTCCAGCAGATTCAAACTCCATAGATGAGATCTGCACACAACATTGACCATGCTCAACTACCTCAAGTTCTTTGACTATGCTTAAACATGAAGATGACCACCCCCACACTTTCACTTTGGTGCGTTTTGTAAAAAAGGCCCTAATGGCTAGGTTTCAAGACAACCAATCCCATATCTCCCGACTGCCTTCATAGTTTTGGCTTAAACTTTGGGAAAGTAATCAAACTTGTTGTACAAACTCGTCCACGAAAGATTGAAACGAAATAGCCAACAAATTGTGAAAAATTATTTTTTGCTTAAATTCGATGGTAGGTTTTTAGGATTGTCTTTAATATCATTGCATTTCTTCAAAAAGTCTTAAAATCTGGTCTCTTTTCGTCGAATTCGACACTTCATACGGACTGTAAGGTTACGCTTGAGTGATCACGGACTTTTTGTCACCCTGAAGTTTGATATGCTTTCTTTTTTTAGTTGGTGGCAATACATTGGTGACATGTTTAATGTTTTTACCGTTCATTGTCAACCTCTGTAGACGCCCGCAATGTAAATAAAATTCTATATGGYGCATGTCCAGAACTAGACATATATATGTGTAGCCTTATGAAAGGGACTTGATCTTTTAGATCGGTGAAAGGTAGTTTAGGTAAAAGCGTCATAAAAGTCTTCTCATTTATCTGACATTTAATAGAAAACTCTACAGCTCAGTTACTCGTCCAACTCTTCGATCGAGATTATAATAATTATATTACAAAATAAATTATTGTAAAAAGACAAATTTGCGCATGACAGTTTTGATACATTGTTAATTAGATTGAATTAATATATCAATGAAATACACATCTGCTCGAGACATACAATTTTCTTGTAAACATAACCGTGTCATAATCGGGGATAAAAAATTATATTTTAAATTATCTTGGAGTCAAAATGAACAACTCTACAGAACCAAACAACGGCGACTTTGAAAAGGCTGGGACAGCCTATGCCATCTCACTGATTGTTATCAACGCCTGCAGCTCCCTTGTTGCTTGCGTTTTGAACTTCTTGATCATTTTGACTTTTATAACGACGCCATCAATGCGAGCACCTTCGAATATACTTATTCTTTGTTTAGCCATTGCTGACTTTGGTGTTGGTGCTGTTTTGCAGCCGGTATATTGTGTAGAATTGTTTGCCAAAATGAAAGCATACGAATCAATGTTTTATACGACCTTGAAGGTGCGAGCAGGAAGTTCATTTGTATTACTGGCTTCATCTTTGCTAACAATYACTGCCATTACCATCGACCGATTCCTTGCTCTTCACTTGCATCTGAGATATCAAGAACTCGTTACAACAAAGAGGTCGTGTATAGTTGTGATTGTTATTGTTACAATAAGTCCGTTTGTGTTTTTTGCTGAATTTTCTCCTGCTGTCAGAATATTTTGTGTTTCGGGTTTAGTGGTTCTCTCGATACTKGACGTTCTCCTAATGGTGAAACTTTCTCGAACTGTAAGGAAACATTTAGCAAGCATCCATACACAAGAGCAATCAGTACAGAACAGCTTAAACCTTCCACGATACAAGAAGACTGTGAACACAATGTACTATATCATGGGAGCATTTGCGTTTTGTTACATCCCCTTSACTGCAACAAATATTGCATATATTACAGGACCATACGAAGCATTACCGATKCATTATCGACGATTATTAGATATTACATTGGATGTAACCAACACACTAATGTTTATAAACAGTTCTTTGAATCCAGTCATCTACTTCTGGAGAATACAAGACATGCGAAATGCTGTCATGCAGCTGTTTCTAAACATTCAATGCCTAAACTAATAAAGACAGAGAATTAGCTTAACAAAACACAATACGAGACTAAATAAAGGAATCATTTTTCGATTTCCTGCTAGTATTTATTTTCTCGCAGTCTTGATTTAAATGATTTTTATTTTGGCGAAACAACCATTTCTCCTTAAGTCTAGCACTTGAGATTAGAAGTCCATGGACTGGATGGATGATATTTTTTCTTAAAAATACATATTAAAACAGAGCAGCCTACTTAACGCGTTTGGTAAATATCTCCATTTTCATTGTGAAACGGTATTCTTACCAATTTAAATGCTTACAGTCCAAAAAAAGAGGAAACCAGAATGGGGAGACAGAGAAAAACCTAGTGGATTTTACAGTTTTGTCACTTTCCTGTAATTATTGCGAGTATTGCACACGATAAAATACAAAGTATTACTTTCGACTTATATGTTGTCGTGCAGCTGTCCAAACATTCGATGTCCACACAGCGTGTAATCATAAACAGACATTGAGCAAGATTCAATAGAAGAAGCGTTTAAAAGACTTCCTGTTTATTCCCTCGCATGACTTCCCGTTCTTTTTTCTCGCATGATTTTTCGTCTTTTCATTTTGCGTCGAAYCCCCCATATCGCCCTAAACTCTCAGCTAAAGATGTTTTATGGCCAACTTCGAAGATCAAAAAAKTTTCGTAAAATTTTCACCTTGAAATTATGAGTCAAGATGGCAGTGCCGAATTAAGCACAGCCTATGCACTGTTGTAGATCAGTTAGAGAGCGGGATTAGTGACGAGACGGGAGAAAATTGAAAGGATTTTTCTTTTCTCTCCCCCAGTCTCTTCTCTTTCCCAATTTCTCCACAGGGAGCCCAAAGTATATAATAACTGGAAAAGAGAGATGCCTGCAAAAGAGGCTAATTACAACTAAATCTGATTTAAAATCACCAATAATAGTGAATTTGTTAGAGTAGGGAGTGATGGTGATGACAAGGATTGTTAAGGTGATAGCGGCAAAGACGCTGGAAATGGCGATACACATGTGATCTCTCAATAGTCAACTTTAGATATTTTGGTTCGATGACTATGTACAAAAGAACGCACACGAGGCTCCGGGGAAACAATGGATAATCTTGATTTATTCTTTTAATTCCCCGGAGCCTCGTCTGCAATTCTTTTGTGCATGGTCACTGAACCAAAATATCTAAAGTCGACTATTAGAATAAAGAAATGAATATCTTCATTCACGGTTTTTTAATCTCTCGCAAACGATAGCGGCAAAGACGCTGGAAATGGCGATACACATGTGATCTCTCAATTAGATAAAGAAATGAATATGTTCCTCACGGTTTTTCAGTCTCTCGCAAACTTTTGGAGAACAGTCCTCATTGCTCGAATCCAAACATGATGTGTATACTATACTTGCAAAATCGAATTCGTTTAAATAAGGTACACTTTGATTAAATTTCGACCCAGTCACCCCAGTCGCCCCGAAATGGTTTTTTATTGTTCTTTTTTTCGCAAGGGAACCCTAATCGTCCGTTGGGAAGCCTCAATATTATATTCTTATGTGACCGATGGGCTTGAAAAGAAAAAAGGAATCTAAGTGGTTATCGAAACCTAGGTTCTTATGCGCGCACAATATAGATACATCAGTCTCGAAATCTCCGCTGCTCTGCCTTATTTGTTCGTGTTCCAGTCCTGTCACGACCACTAACCAAGTTTTTTTTAGGATTTCAATTTGCTGATATTCAGYTCTAGGCCATACATGTAAATAGCCAATTGGTTTGCCTCCTTGTCAGTTGGGATTTTTAAGAGATTGGATCGGAAGGGTAACTTCACATAGGAGCCCAATACATTCATTWGTATTATTTCCATGAAACAAAAGAATATGTTCCTTGGTTTCGAGGCTAACACAAGAGCAAACCAGAACTCGAAATGGGAGTATTCGTATATTCTTATTCTTTGTTTTGCCATCGCTAGCTTTGAAGTGGGCTCTGTTGCAGCTGATATATTGTGTTGATTTCTTTGCAGACGTCATTACGCAGCCTTGAAATCTTGTACTTTTTTATGCGACATTGTTCATAAGATTATAATTAAAGATCATGGGCGGGTATAAAGGGCTTCAATTTTGCAGAGGATGTTCACAAACTGTATGCAAATATTCCTTTATAACCTTATTACTTTATTACGCAATACTTTGTTTCCTCGTTTTTCAGTGAGCTAGCATATATGTGTAGACTTTTAATTTCACTAGTCCATGTCATGTTGACAGCGCTATTGGTTGCCACACACTACATTTCATTAACTGTACATTTTTAAAATTAATCCTTCAGTAAATATTGTATTAAATACTTTGAATATTTGTACATATATTAAAGAGAAAATATGTTAAGCCGGGCGAGGGAGAGTCGTTGAATTAATGTTGAGGTTATTTTGAGTTCACAAATAAGATAAACAAAAGGATAAAAAAGAATKTCTCATTAACTTTGGYGCACCTGCACAATAAAGATCTTCACGCAAATTTGGTAACGATAACATCAATRATTAAATTCAAATTAAGTTTACATCAGTTCAATTCAGAGCTTAAAGATTATCTTTCGTGTTATGGTTGTGTTTTTCTTAATTTCGTCATGAACAATTCTACAGGAGCCAGCAGCAGAAGTGGCTATGATAGATTTGAAAGACGCTATATCACCTCGATGATTGTTATCAACGCTTGTAGCTCCATTGTTGCTTGCGTCTTGAACTTCTTGATCATTTTGGTTTTTGTCAAGACGCCATCGATGCGAACACCTTCGTATATTCTTATTCTTTGTTTAGCYATCGCTGACTTTGGCGTCGGTGCTCTGGTGCAGCCGGTTTACTGTGTCGAGTTGTATGCACAAATGAAAGAATTTAAACCACTTTTTTATGCGACCTGTGCTGTAAGGRATGGAGGTTCATGGGTATTAGTGACTTTATCTTTCTTGACGATTACAGCTATCACCATCGACCGTTTTCTTGCCGTCCAATTACATCTAAGATATCAAGAACTTGTTACAACCAATCGGTCTTGTATAGCTATCATCGCTATTTTCGTTGTAAGTTCAATTTCTAGTGCTCTCGCAATATATTTTCAACATGTTGCCAAAAAAATCATCGTCTTCGTTTTAGTAAATTTCTTGCCGCTGAACGTAGTCCTGATGGTGAAGATTTCTCGAGCCGTAAGTATGCATTCAAAATCCATCCACGCACAACACCGATCAGTACAGCAAAATTTAAACCTTCCACKATATAAGAAGACTGTGAACACAATGTACTACATCATTGGGTCGTTTGCGGTTAGTTTCTTTCCCGTTTCTATTGTGAACATTGCACTCCCTGACTTATCATACACAGAARTATCGACTCATCATCGTTCGGTATTAAACATCGTAATATACCACATCTACACACTTATGTTGATAAACAGTGCTTTGAATCCAGTCATCTACTTCTGGAGAATTCACTTCATGCGAAATGCTGTCGGACAGCTTTTTCGAAATATTCGATGCAAGATAGTCCATGAGCCTGAACCATAATAAACCGAAGACTGAAGACATGCACAAAGACTGATGAGATAACAAAAATTGTTAATCTTAATTTTAATAGTAAATTTAACTTTAAATCAAATTAAAACGCCATAACAATCATAGTGAAAGATCTTTTTTGTTGTTCTGATCATTACAGCCCAGAATATGGAAAGATGATATGGGACTTATGTTTCAGCAGGGAAAGAGAGGTAGCATGTCGCGATGACCCCATCAATGATGTTGGAAGGCCATGACACTTCTTTCTTGTCGTCGATGAATGCTATTCAGTGGTAGACTTCATTTGAGCTGTCATTGAAAATGCCTTATTGTTCATTGTTGTCTACAAAGTTCTCATCCACGTTTCCTCTCAAAAAGGATTCTACATCTGTCACAAGTTGTCCCAAAAGACTTTTACTAAGACGTTGCCAAGTCTCACAAGTTGATCGGATATTGCGTCCTGGAAACAAGCCGGATGACTMTCCAGTTGTTTCCACCGCAACTGGTTGTAACGTCATGGCTCTCTCTTCCTCACTTACGAATGACAAACGCGTATTGTGTTATCATGCATATGGATAGAGAGATTGAAGATTCTGTCGGTTATCAAAACACAATGTTTTGGGGAGATCGTGGATGGCTGGATGATGCCCAGCTACTCTCCATACCATTATACAGTATTACTGGGAACTCTTAGCATTAAAATCACCAACAAAACGATAAGTTTAAAAATGTAAAGCAGAAATGATGACAGTGTTCAAATCCTAAAAAAGCACCTGTYCTTGGTTGGAAATATGGTAAAAATATGGCAAATTTACATGAATGGAAATGGCATTTTGCTTTAAATGTCTGTAAAATCTTTTAACTTCTTTATATATTTTCAACAATCAAATTATATTCTGAACCTTTTGAAGCCTGCTTTTGGCTAATCTAGCGAGCAGTCCTTAAAATTGGCAAGGGGTTACTGAAGTAAACAACATTGAACAGACTCAGGGAAATATGAATCATAGTTTGATTGACAACTGCAGTCAATTGACGCCTTAAGGTGTTTCGATCGATAATAAATAGCGTTTCGCGCGTATTTTTAAACTCCAACTACGTCGCAAATTTCGATTCAATTGCACTCAGAAGTCGCAGTGATTATCGATAATTCTTGTTGTTCATTTCTTAATAACATAATTGATATACTGACAAAGTTTCAATTAAATCTTAACCTAAAATTTCGAGTTGTTCGAATGTACATCATTTTGCTCAAACAACTCGAAATTTTAGGTTAAGAAATGATTCTGAAAGTTTTATTACAATCTCTGCGATGAGTTTCGAGAAAATTAACTTTGAAGAAAAATGAAGGTGTTTTTATTTTGCACCGTTTATCCAAATGGMTTCGCTTTTTGGCAAATTAATTTATCAACAAATCAACAAGAATTATCAATAATCACTGTTACTTCTGTGGGGAATTTGAGTGTAATGGAATCGAAATTTGCGACGTAGTTGGAGTTTAAAAATACGCGCGAAGCGCTATTTATTACGATCGAAACACCTTAACCGTATATTTGTTTTGTTTCTATTTTTCCTGAACTGTCATAGCTCGCTCTTTTCAAAAAAAAAAAAAAAATCCACTGTATATTTTCAAACCACCTTTTCCCCTATTTACTGTTGGAAAGGGCTTCAAACAGCGCCTGAATTCAGTGCATTAGATAAGGCAAACGTGAATCGGAGAAGAATTTTTGAAAGGAGARCTTATAAGGAAAATACAAACACTCCAATATACACCTTCAATGGTTGATCAACGGATCAGCGCAGGAGTAGACAGGGAGGTTAATTAAAACACCTCGCAAATACCCGACTGAATAACTAATCCAATGWATGTAATAGTGAATAATGGWAATTGTAATTAGTGTACCCCCTTGAGGGCAATTTGCCTAGCTGTACTTAAGTAGTGGTTTTGAGATKAAAAGTCAGTTAGCGATAAAAGATCRACGTGTCTGGTTTATTTACTAGTCTTTTCTAACTTCTTGGAYCGAACCGTACAATGGTAGTGGCTCTTTATTAATTACAAACGGAGATTTCCAATATACGGCAAGATCATCACATGTCTCACAAAGCCAAATGTCTTTTAGTGAGCTAAACTAATGTACATTACAAGATATATCGGCTGATGTAGGACCATTGAAATTGAATTACGATATATTTTTCGATAGCATCCATGGCTATCTAATTACTTTACTTCCCTATAACTTATCACTATAGGCGGAAGCGATATCATTGCAAACAACACTACARAATTCTTTAATTCCATATTTTCCTGTTGACACTTTCTGTGAGGATAATACTAATAGTTAGTCACATGTAAAATTCTCGAAATGAAACTATTTCTATGGACAAGATTTGTCCCCTTGCATATTATGCTGGCGTGTTTTCAGTAGAACACTGGACGAGCATTGATATCTCTGTCTTTGGGATMGAAACCACATTGACCACTAACAAGAGACTAATAAGTTGTATAGCAATTTTTTGAGCCTACAATTTGAAGAGAAGTCGCCATAGCTCAATAGTAAAACGTTCTGGAAACGTCCCCAATACATGGCTATAAGATTATTATAACAAGATCCACTTGGTGGAACATACCGTGTCCAGGCTACGCTGATRTAYTTTTACCAGCGCCGCGATCGATTTGATAGATTTTTCATATGATCTTTTCACATCATTTTTTTGAATATTTTTRTCATTGCAGCGAAAATTTAGGATTCAGATTGCATTCACATTGTCCTCAGAGAATTTACTATAAGATTAAAGTTTGCAAAGAAAGAAAGAAAAAAAATGTTMTGCCAAATTTCCCCTAAGATGCCAGTCGTATATTAAAGGGCAATTCGTTTCATAAACCTTATTAGCAACTAATATTCCATTACACCGTGATAGTGACG